TCAAACACAATGATTCTTTTACCCACCAGCTGTCACCAACAAGTTAGCTATACTTTGTACTTTCCCTTTGTTCTTGAAAGCCAAAGCTAGAGCAGATGGCTGGATTAAGTGCCAGAGCAAAGGTAAAATTGGCTATTTTATCTGAACAGGTACTGCCAGATTTCATTAAGACAAAAGCCCCAGCAACAAATACCTACAAAATTTAGGGTCTGGAAAGTGCAATCTGAACTGCTTAATTTACCAACTAAAAACAAAAATGCTCTTTGGGGGAAAACTTTACCTAATTTGCTAAGAGATGAAAAAAGACATACATATTTCATCTGCAGTGAGAAGTGGTTTCCTGTGTCATTAACCCTATAATTTCCAGGCTCTGTAAAAAACAATTATATTCAATGTTCTAAGCTAAGCTCATGGGTGAGTTCCAGAACATGAAATTTAATCTTCCAGAGCTGAAACTCTACCAAAGCAAAGATGTTTGAAAATACTTGAGTTTTTTAAAAACTGCAAATTAAAATGACAAGGGAACAGCTAAATGAACAACTAAATGAAAGACTTTCAAACTGAGGGATTAAAGCTAGAGTCAGGATTCAGGAGATGGGAATTCAGAACTGCATGATATGGCCAATCATTCATCAACCACGTAGTGCAATTATAATACGTAACTGGAAGTGGAAGAGTTAGGATTAGAATGACACTGAAAAAATCCTTTCCACTGTTGCAAAGAAAGCTCAGTTTCCCAAAACACAACCTCCTTGACTTTCCATTCTGAAGCTAAAAGGTTTTGGAGTTCAAAGAGCCACCTCTTTTGCCTCTTCTGAGTGGCACAGGCATAGAGCAGTTTGTTACCTCCATTCACTTATTTTTAAAAGCCCCAAAAGATAAAGAGAATAGAACGAGAAATCATTTCTATGACCATTCATAAATTGGCAATTTCCTCCACATTTTTACTACTAAGAGAGACGTAATCATATATGCAATAGATTTATTATTCAGTTCCCTCACTCAGGTAACTCACAATTAGTAAAATCATAGTAGTAACATTTGAATGTCACAAAGCAGAAACCTCAGTAGCCTAATAGACTGTTCTAAGTAGTCAGGCTGTAAGACTAGGATATTCACAGTGAGATCAAGGTTTCCTCTGAGGCAGATTAATTAATGTGACTATATTTTCAAAGCCCAAGAGCACAACCATTAGTAAAAACATCTCTCAAGCTACATAATGCCCTTCACTATATAAATCACTATACTTTCAAATGGGATGAAAAACTGTGTATGTTTTCTAATTTCATGATTTCTAATCCTTTCCTTCCTGCACAGCAGCCAGAAGAAAAGTAGTCTCTGAATGTGGCAAAGGCTTCGAAACATAAACAGTGAGAAACTTTATCTTCAGAAAGGCAGAGTTTCAAACCTAGGCCCACATTCACCCCTACCACTCATACATGTGAAATACATTTTTTAAAATACCTAATCTGTCGGAATTTCAGTTCTCAGATCTTGGGCAGTGGAGATATTAATACTGCCTACTTCATGGAATTGTTGTGAGGATCTAATTTAAAATATGCGTAATGTTTACTACAGTATCTAGGAATGTGCTGTTCATTGCTATATGTAGCTATTTAAATCAAATTTAATTCAAATTGATAAATTTTAAATTCAGCTCTTCAGTCACACTAGCCATATTTTAAGTATTCAGTAGTCACACGTGGCCACATCAATTCAATCGCAGCACTTTGGGAGGCCAAGGGAGAGGAATCATTTGAGCCCAGGAGTTCAAGACCAGCCCAGGCAACACTGTAAGATCCCATCTCTACAAAAAATTTAAAAAGTTAGCCAGGCATCATAGCGTGTGTCTCAGTTGCAAAGGACGCTGAGGCAAGAGGATTGCTTTAGGCTGGGAGATCGAGGCTGCAGTGAGCCTCTGAGGTACAATGAGCCTCTGAGTTGCAGAGAGTGTGCCACTGCACTCCAGCCTGGGCAACAGAGCAAGACCCTGTCTCAACAACAACAACAGTTAATTTGGTGTGTCTGACATTTTTTTCCTCCTCCTCACCAATTCCTGTAAGTTATCAGGCTGCCCAGGTTTCTCCTTGTCTGGAAAGAAAGCAGTACTTAAAACATATCTGTGTTTACCATGTTTTTCATTCCCAGGAACACTGGAGTTCTAAAAGAACATGACATGGAAACAGCAATGTTGATCGCAAATGGGAGTTCTAATGATGAGGATTTCAGGCACGGTAGTCAGACACTGAAGAAGGTCTTTTGGACTAACTATATGTGTGAGGAGAGTAAAAGGGAGTCTCCACAGTACTCTTCAATTCATATGTAGAGATCCACTGTTTGCAGTGACGCTGACTTTAACACATTAACACTGAGATAATGAAAAAGAAAAGAACTTTTCCCTCTCTGGAATTCTTTTTATGCCAAACTTTTCCTGGTTGAAATATCTAAAAATAATTATAAATCATCAACATTTTTCCAAGAGATGCTTTAGACAAGTTAGTCTTGGGCCACTGAGTAAAATTTTTTGCATTTGGTTTTTTGTTTCCATGGTTTCATTTCCTTTCTCCACCCAAATGCTAGAACTGGGGCTGTGAAGCTACCAGAGTGAGAATGCCAGGGGCCTATATAGTTGCAGAAACGTTGTATTATAAGAAGCAGAAAATTAATAGAGTCTATAAGAAGGATTCTAGTCTCAAATGATATTTGGGGGTATCCGGCGAAATTATCCTGTAGATACTTGTAGATCTGGGCTTAGAATGTCTTGGGTAGATTGCTCTAAAATAGGACACCTGTGGAACTAAACTTACAAAGGTTACACATCTTTGCTTTCAAAACTGCAAGTAGAAAAGGCTGGCAGTGTGCCTTTTACAGATGAGAAGGAAGATCTAGTACTTCAGAAAAAAATATGTTTATAGATGATGTACTTATAGGTGGTATGCAAAGCTTACTACCTAGAACATGAAATGAACATAACTGTGGGCTGTGCTTTTCAAGGTCAAACTGCCAACAAAGCAAGTCTGCTCTCATAGCCTTGGTAACAGTATTTGAATATGCATGATAATAAATTTGTTCATATGTTTTCCGTGAGTGAAATTAATTTCTTGCTGGTGACACTGCAGGTTATATAAATACATAATACTTTTCTTTCACCTCTTCACATATTATCAAACAATCCACATTTGACTGCATAACATTTTGAGACAGTCTACAATCATCAATCCTGGATATTACTTCACAGCTAAAGTACTTACACTAACAATATTCTGATTGTGATTTTATCTTTATGTTTTTAATCATATCAACAAGGGAAATTATGGGTTTCCTGAAACCATAATGCAATGATAAAAACCCAGCACAATATGGAAGAGTTTTTTATTCTGCTGAAAACATATTTACTAGCAGTCTAAACACAAAAATGTAAGCTGCTGTCTTTTGGAAAACATAAATAACACAGGGTCACAATTTTGTAAGATAAAAGTTTCAAGTTATTTTAATCAATTGCCATATTTTTTCTTATCAAAAAATGACCCATATGCCTTTTTTTTAAAAAAAAAAAAAAGAAGATATTGGGTATGACTTATGTGCTATAGAAGTATTAGCCATTATTACTGTATTATTATTCCTTCCACCAGATAGAAATTTCTTATTTTGTACTACTGTTTGATGTTATAAAATTCTATTAATATTATTTTGGGAAGACACTCTTTAGTGAAGACACATCAGAAAGGCAAAGTGGTTAAAAAAAAAAAGCTTAGCTTACCCAACTTTTAAAAATCATAAAGATCATAAAACTTCTATACAGAGCTGTATTAGTCTGTTCTCAGGCTGCTAATAAAGACATACCTGAGATTGGGTAATTTATAAAGAAAAAGAGGTTTAACGGACTCACAGTTGCACATGGCTGGAGAGGCCTCAAAATCACGGTGGAAGGTGAAGGAGGAGCAAAGGCACATTTACATGGCAGCAGGCAAGATAGTGTGTGCAGGGGAACTGCCCTTTTATAAAACCATCAGATCTCATGAGACTTTTTCACTATCAAGAGAAAAGCCCACCCCCATGATTCAATTACCTCCCCCGGGGTCCCTCCCACGACACGTGTAGGAGCTACAATTCAAGATGAGATTTGGGTGGGGACACAGCAAAACCGTATCAAGGGCAAAGTAGCTAATTATCCAACCCACACTTTCTAATGATAACAATGATAATAATAATGTCATTATAAAAGTTCACAGTACCTTTCCTGGCTAAAATTCCTTAAAGTAACAGAAACCACTCCGACTTAACCTAAACCCAAAGGAAGAATTTATTATAAGAATATAGTTATGTAATGTGAATCAAAAGAGACTGGAACCAGAAATAGATAGCTGTCCTCTCTCCTTATCACTCATCTGCTTTATGTTTCTCTTGAATGATGGACTTTACTCTGCTTCTCCGTCTATATACCAAATAAACCTACCTCTCAGCTCCAGAATTATAAATAATAGTTTTAGCTGTGATTTGGTCTCAGCTCCTGACCAAGAGAATCTAATTGTCCTAGATTGAAAAAAGGTGTGCACTTGTAGGCTAAAAACTTGGGCCGAGGCTTTTTAGGAGTTCACTGTGTAACATAAACATGACTGCCTGTGAGCCCACGCCCATTAGACGGGCTGGGTGAGGGATGGCATGCTCTCACAAGGGAAATGGTCACCAAATTGGACAGAAATCCCAAAAGTATCAATTACCATGCTTCTTTTCAAAATGATTTCATGCAATAATCTTTTTTCATGAGAGGATTCAGTTCCTATACTATGCCTACTTGGTATCTACTGGTGTCAAGTGTTTGGGGTTTGTTTTAGAGAGGAGGTCTCTCTCTGGCGCCCAATCCAGGCTGCAGTACAGTGGCACAGTCATAGCTAACTGGAGCCTTAGATTCCTGGGATCAAGCAATCCTCCCACCTCAGCCTCCCTAGTAGCTGGGACTACAGCCACAAGCCACTATACCTGGATTTTTTTTTTTTTTTTTTTTTTTTTTTTTTTGAGATGGAGTCTGGCTATGTTGCCCAAGCTAGCCTGGAATTCCTGGCCTCAAGCCATCCCCCATCCTCCTATCTCAGCTTCCCAAGGCGCTGGGATTACAGACATGAGCCACTGTGCCTGGCTGTGATAGTTCTTATTAAAAGGCTAAGATGTTTCAAATGCTAACAAATACATAAGTAATTTCTGCTGACTTTTGTCCTTTCATCACTGGCAATAAAGTACATCCCAGAATATTAAGCTTAGATAATGCTAGTGAAACTTTCATAAAAGAATGCCTTCTGAATACAAAGCCATGCAGAACTTCTTAAAAACCCTAACCAAAAAAGCATAAAAACACCCCAACTAAAGACCACTTTTGTTAATAAATGTAAAGCTCAAATAGTCATACCTCATAATTTAGCCAAGGATAACTGAACTTTTGAAATGTCAGAGTTTTACCATATTGCATTGTTTTCTTTTTTTTTTTTTATTACTGATCAGATTAGTTTCTCTTCTGCCAGTGAAAAATCCGAAAGAAATCTGAATAATCAACGCAATATTCAGTTCCAAAACCTATTTACGGAAATCTATTAGGGCAATTCATTAATGTCCAGAAATACATTTTTCCCACCATCTATCATTTTCAGAACAAATTCTGAAGATCAAGGTTCCTGGCCAATGAAAAGCAGGTGTCTAGAGAAAATAAGACAGATTTCTAGACCCCGCAAAGTTGAAAGACCGACTGCTTGGCATTCTGAAGATTGGTTATAACAGCCTGCAAACATCCTCTCATTATTTTAATCTCATACTCTATAAAATACTTTTGGATCCTTTGCCAGCAAGATAAAAACAAATTAAACAAAAGGGCCAATATGCACAAAATATCTTATTCTGGAAGCACCACTGCTGACAGCTTCCGAAAAAATAAAATAAAGTGGAACTTTCAAAAAAACTTTCCAAATAGCAGACAGTATTACCAAGAAAGAGTCAAAAACTAAAAACGGCATAACAGTCAGCAAATACAGGAGTGTGGCTCTCCTCATGGCTCTTATAATTCTTTTCTCACAACATTCTTACAGTTTCTATCACGTTCTGTAAGTATACAGTTATTTGTCCGTTACATTGCAAGCCGAAACTCAGAGTAAGCTTGACCTGGAGCTCTAATCAGTAGAAATCACACACACAGAGAGACACACATACACACACACTCTCTCTCTCTTTCTCTTTTGGCCCTAAACCAAAATACTAGGATATAAATGTACCAAAATCATTTAAGTTAAAACAAAATGTTTCTCTATCTATCTCCCCACCCTCCACCAATATACATGTAATTTTTACGAGTTCAATAAGATGGTTTTTTTTGCCTGTGCTTACATTACATAGTTGCAGGGAACATAAGAAATGGCTTATAAAGTAGGAGAACTAATGTAACCAATGCTATGGGAAACAGGGTAAAGAAGGATATAGAGAAGGGACTACTTCAGCTGAGCAGACAGACAGTCCTGGGTAAAGGCACTGAAGATACAAGAACAATGTGGACAAAGGCCCATAGGCCAAGTAGAATGGTTTATTGAAGGAACATCAACAGAACAAGGGGTTCCAACAGAGAACAGCAGCAACAGAGACCAAGGAAATAGGTAAAGTCTGGGTCCTCAAAGGCTTATAACGCAGCACATAGAAGGTAAACTAAGAGAAAATGGAGCAAACAAGACTCTAAGCAGCAAAATATAATAACTGGACAAGCATCTTCAAAGGTCATTGTAGCAGTGGCAGTAGGGTGATTTGGGGGTATGAAGAATGACAGACTTAAAGAAAGTAACTTCCAAAGTCCAAGCAAGAAATGAGAGAGCCTAGGACTAAGTGAGAAGAGACAAAAATGAAAACATGATGAAGGCAGAATCAACAAGACTTACCCACCACGTCCTTAGCTATATGAGTCTAGCGAAGAGAAGGAATACAGAGTAACTGGTGTGTTGCTTTAGTGGCTCTGTAGCTCACAAATTATTTTCCCAGTTAACTTTAAAGAAGAAAAAGCAAGATTGGCAGAAGAAGAAGTCAATTCAGATTATTTTGAGTTTAAGCAGCCTGTAGGACAGAAAACAGAAATGCCAAATCATTAGCTGAATACGCATAACTGGATTTGAGGAGAAATGTCTGATCTGAGTTGGAGACTGGTGACCTAATCCTTTATATTTGAAGCCGTGGGAGTGGATGTTATTAATGAGAAAGACCAGGGAAGGGCAACCAAAAAAAAGTCAAGGGCAGAACCCAGAATCACACCCACTTTTCAGAAACAGTCAGACAGGAGAACAACAAGAGGATACTAACAAGGAAAGGTCTGCAAGATGGAAGCAAGTTTAGGCCAGTGGGACTTCAGAAACTGCAAGGTCAGAAGGATTTGTTAACCCAAAAGTATCTGAGACAGGTCTCAATTTAGAAAGAGTATTTTCCCAAGCTTAGGAATGCGTCCCTGACATAGCCTCAGGCAGTCCTGATGACATGTGCCCAAAATAGTCGGGATACAACTTACTCTCACACATTTTAGGGAGGCATAACACATCAATCAATACACGTAAGATCGGTTGGATCTGGAAAGGCAAACAACTAGAAGTGGGTGAGAAGTGGCTTCCAGGTCATAGGTAGATTTAAAGATTTTCTGATTGGCAATTGGTTATTATCTAAAGACCTAGAAACAATAGAAACAAATGTCTGGGTTGCAATAAGAGCTTGTGGATACCAAATATGATCGTGGAGATGAAGCCTCTAAGTGGCAAATTTCAGAGAGAATAGATTGTAAATGTTTCTTATCAGACTTAAGGTCTGTGTTGATGTTGGTGCTGGCTGGCTTTTCCTGAATTCCAAAAGGAAGAAGGGCATAATGAGGCATGTTGGACCCCCCTTCCCATCATGGCCTGAACCAGTTTCTCAGGTTAACCTTGGCAGAGAGGAGGGGTCCATTCAGATGATTTGGAGGATTGGAATTTTATTTTTGGTTTACAGTTTCAAGGAGAAGCAGGACAATCATGTCAGAGAGCTTCAGTGAGGCTGAAAATGCTCCACCAGATTCAGCAGTCTTTAAGCTATCAGAATCCTTTGGCAGGGTAGGGGCTTGGAGGGGTGAGGGTAGAGGGATGGAGAGGAGAGAAAAGGACAGGCAAAGGGGCACAGATATCTCCATCAGGGAGTGAGCATGCCCCACACAAATTCCTTAAGGCAACCTGTGAGGCTATCGCCTTGGCACAAACCCTATCACATGTCAGTCAACTTCCCGGCAAGTCGCAGATCTTTAGAAACCTTGGTGTGTATTTCCCTGCTCGGCTTAGGACGCACCCCTGCCTCCACTCCACAAACGTCCATTGAGTCCTCAAAAACCCGGACAAATGACCTCACCTCCAAAGCCCCCTCTCTGACGCTCCCAGGAAAAACGAAAGCACCTCAGTTTGTTTTGTCCGTACCTTACACGGCTTTGTAATTATCTGTGGTGCCTCTGGCTCAAATCAAAGCGGGAGCCAGACCCAAAAAGTCAAGGAAGGGAAGCGCCTTCACAGGCCTCGCGTGAGGAGAAAAGAACTACAATTCCCATGAGGCGGTGGGTCCAAGGGACCACAAGTCCCAGCATCCACTGCGCGGCCCAGGCCTGTCAGGGTAGTAGGCGCTGCGTGAGGCGGGTAAATGTTCGCGGAAGCGGCGAAGAAGACAGGGCCTTGTGGGATGGCGGAGTTTAAGGAGAAGCCTGAGGCCCCGACTGAGCAGCTGGATGTCGCGTGCGGCCAGGAAAACTTGCCGGTGGGCGCGTGGCCCCCGGGGGCCGCGCCGGCGCCCTTCCAGGTAGGGGCGGGGCCAGGCGGCGCGGGAGGCAGACGCGCGGCTCCCCCACGTGGTCTCCTTCTCAAGCAGCCTCGCCGGGACGGCCTCCCAATCGCGACCTTTTGTCTTCTCTTATAGCACACTGGTGGTGCGCGGGAATAGGTGTGCATGCCCCGGCCTGGGCCTTTTTCTGTTAACCCACGGCATCACCTTAGCAAGGGTGCTGTCCTTTTCAGTCCATTCCCTGAAGCGCAGAACCAGAGGCCTTATGAGAACCCGGCTTTTTATCCCAGTCCTGTCCTCAGAACTCAAGGAGGCATCAAGGGGGGGAGTCATTTACCTCTCCGATCTCAGGTGTCTCTCACAGGTAGGATAAGCCGTGGGGCCTGTTAGTGGATAGCACCCGGTGTCGTGCATAAAAACAGCCCCGCGAGTCAGCCTTAGCTGTGGTCTCCCTCATGCTGTGGGCTCTTGGGCAAGTATAAATTAGCTTTGGCTAAGCCTTAGAGTCTTCCAGTTCTAACAGTACCTCTCTTCCGGATTGCTTTGAAAATTGCAAGGAA